ATTAGTGTATTAGGTAAAATTATTATAATTTTTTATTCATGTATATGATTAGTTAGATAGGATTATTTGAATAGGAATGCAAAACCTGATTATTAAAATAGTCTAAAAAACCTTTAATAAGATTTCTAGAGAAAACTAAAATACTAATAGTATATATTGTAAATAATACAGTATATAAAAATTAGTTTAAATTAATGAGTCTCTTTTAGAGCATCTCTAATCTATTGTTATTTTTTCATCTACTTTTAGATAAAAAAATAGAGGTGTCATTTTTGTTCTCCAATCCACCTCTATTTTAGAGGAAAAAAATAGAGATATTACTTTTTCCTCCAAATATAGAGAAAAAATAGATTCCTCTATATTTTCCTCTAAAATAGAGGTATTCCTCTAAAATACCTCTAAAATAGAGGTGGATTGGAGAGAAATCTACCTCTATTTTAGAGGAAAAAATAGCAAAATGGATTGGAGTATACCATTATACACCACTTCAATAAGAAACTCATCCTTAACTTTTTTATTCATCGTTTGTTTTTAGGGTCGCCGGCGATCGTCGGCGGCTCTCCCTTTTTCTTTTTTCTTCATACAACAATTCATCTCAATTTCTACAATCGTTTACAGCAAAATTAATATTTTGGTCGTGATTTAAGAGAGGAAACAATGCGATTGTTGTTGCAATCGTACCTTTTCCTTTTTCTATGCATATGTCTCTCTCCGGAGAGTGAATTTCGCCGGCTACCAGCGTTTATGTCAGGAAAGATTAATGGCTTAACTGATTGTGTCTTCCAATCGATCTCGAGGGCCATATATATCTCCTGTGTCTGTATCTGTTTCCTTTGTGAGTATCGGAGTGAACAAATCCCTTTTTCCAATTTTCTATTATTAATGGCAGAGAAATTGAGGAGAAAAATGCAAGACAACTCTATCTGGATAGAAGATAAAATCCCTATGTTGATGTCAGTGCTTCCTCGATTGTGGGGTGTTGGTGAAGAGATTGTGGGTCGTAACATTGAGAATCAGAAAGTTCAATTCATGTTTCAGGCAAAGAAATCAATGCAGTTGGTGTTAAAGAAAACATTGTTGTCTTTCAATGCACGGTTGTGGCTTCTTCAATGGTGGAATTCTTATCATTCTGAGAATGATTTCAATGGTGACGGTTCGCTTCATGTCGACTATGTTTATGTACGTCTACTAAGGGATGTTGAATTTTCTCTAAAATTCCAATCTCTTAAAAGTTAGGCAAAGATACTTTCATTTTGAAGTTTCGTTTCTCCAGAACTCGTGAAATATTATCCCATGAAGGCGCTCTGAGTCCACTTAATAACGGACAATCTGTAGAAGACCTACATGACGTTGATGATGATGATGATCAGAATGATGATGCTCCAACAAGACTTCCGTCTTCAAGGAGACATGATGATGAACAGATGTGAATGAACAATTCCCTTACAGAGGATGGCGATACCGATCAACAAAGCCGTGCAAAGAAGAAGAAGAAAACAGAGACACTATCAACACCAACCACTGAAACACTGTTTACTTTCAGCGACATTAGAGGAGGTGTTGCCATGGATGATTACCAGGAGCAGACACTCAAACGAAGATGCGTTCAAAACTGATTAAAGGGATTCATTGATGGTTCTAGTTTTTCTCAACAACAAGGAGAGTGTCGTTTCCTCTTCATAAGACCAAAAGTCTTCCACATACCTTAAGCTAAACATAGTCAAATCAGAAACAATATGAAGTCTACCTCATCACCAAATACTTGTGGATTTCAAGATTTATCAAGATTTTAAGAATATTTGTGGATTTCAGACGTAAATAGATTTTAAGAATTTTCAAAGATTTGCATGGAATGTAAGAGTTATGTTCATCACTATTTATAGAATACATATAAAGTTTTATCAAGATTTATGTAGATTTTCGTGGATTCATATTAATTTTAGGTTTTCATTTTTTTGGTAAAGTAATTATATGATAATGTTTTTCTAGAAATTTTATATATACTATATACTAGGTGGTTGGCCCGCACATATGTGCGGATATAATATTTTTAAATATATAGTTAAAACATTAGTATGTTTGTATATATATGATATATATATATTATTTCAGTATTTCATAATTTATTTCTCGAACTAATGTATTTTAAAACTTTTTATTTTTATGAAATTTGTAATAATATATAATCAAAAATAGAAAAGTTATATTAAATAATAATTAAATTCTTATAATAATTTTTAAATATTATTTATAATATGTTTTATTTCACCTTACACAATCTATAATATTTTTTTACGTCTTATATAATATGAATTTAAAATACGTATATAATATATTTTTAAGTATATATTTTTTCTTCATTTATTGCAAATTAAACTGAAATAGTTTTTACCATTTTTACTTATCATAAGAGCAGATAGATGGTTAGCATGCATGTGCCGGGGTATCAACCACCTCACTACACTTAGAATAGATAAATATTTTTTTTTTAAATAAATTATACAATAAAAATTAAAATATAAATTAGACTGTAATCAAGCTTAACAAATACTAACATGCACAAAAAAGTTCATGTGACTTCTACTAATGCACAATTAATATTTATGTCTGTACGCGTATTTGTAAAAAAGTTGAAATATGGCTCTTACATGTTAAAACTTTTTTAAGTGACTTTGTAAAACAAAGTGCGAGAAACTTGTTTTTATACACTTCTATTTTTAATTCTTATTCATATTTATTTCATCTTATTTTAATTTATTATTTTGTTCAGCTGTTTTTTATTTCATTTATGATCTCAAATTTTTGATATACAATAAAAAGAATTATGAATATATATATATATATGAATATGATATAATTTTTTTTTAAATATGATAAGAGGTAAGATGAGATGGTAACATAAGTTATGTATATTTTAGAAAACAACAATAAAAAGGTGATAAAAGTTTTATAAAAATATATGGTCATATTTATATTATAAAATAATAATTAGTATATATTTTATTCATTAAGTAAATATTGGTTTGAAAAGAAAATTTATTTTAAATTACGTTTTCAAAAAAATTCAATAAAAGTTAATTATATTTTTATTATTTTTAACATTTTATTCTTTAAATTATTTTTATCAAGATTGTATTTTATTTAAAATTGTATTATTTAATAATTTGTTTATTTAAAACTTGTTTAGATGTTATTACTATATTTTGTAAACTAATAAATTTCCAAAATAAAAATATATCATACGTCAAACATTATTAATATATAAAATCTTTACTATTATCTTGGATAATTTAGTATTATTTTTTTGATTTCATATGAATATATATATATATATTTTGTTTTGTTGAAAACATTTTTTAGTTTTATTTTATGAAATTATTTATATATGTAAGACATTAAAATCATAATAATAATTATTTTCTGTTAATTTTAGTGTTATAAGTATAATCTAATGTTTTTATATTTTAATTCCATAATAATTTTAATTCAACCAATCAAAACATTTCATTTATTTTAGGAAGTTTGACATGTCACATTTACATGTCATCAATTAAAAGCACTAACTTTGGCTATAATGTTGATAAGTCAGCTATTTTCAATAGTGTTACTTCTCAAATAATATGTAGTGGATTCAGATATAGAAATATTTATTTGTTTATAAATACATCGGTTGTGTTTTTTTCTATTTCTAATCTTGGTGTAATTTTTTAACTTCTTGTAGGTATCTTATCACGGAGAGCATCATTAAAAAAGAAGAACATGTCTCTTTAGAATTTTATATGGTAATTTTTGAAGGATATAATTTGTTTGTTCTCTTTTATAAAAATGAGTTCAATATTTTGCTTTGATTGTTTGTTCAAAAACTGGGTTCAATATTTTACTTGTGTTACAAAACTGGTTTCGTAATTGGTTGTGAAAGCTTTAAAATCTTTGACGTGCTTGTTCATAGTGTTATAAAAATAATTGTTTTATACACTCGAAACTTTGTATGTTTTATTTAATAAAAAGATAAATTTTTAATTTTGCTATTTAAACTTTGAGAATACAATGGCTGACTATAGTATTTTGAAAGTTGTGAATGATGAGTTAAAATATAAAGATTCATTGTGCCAGTAGCACTAAAATTTAACAGAATTATAAAATCATTAAATACTACATTTTTTGAATAACACAAATTTTCAAAAATAATTACAAAATCTTCACACCAATAACACAGGATTTTATAGAATTCTTAAATCATCATGCCAATAACATAGGATTTTATTAGGAATTTAATAATTCTTACACCAATAACAATGGTCCAAATGGTTGACAAGTTAGAGGAAAAAAAAATGAGTTGAATGGGTAATTACTCAGCATTCCTCCGAAAACCAACCATTTATGGGGAATATACATTCTGCTGGAATTTGGTGGGACTCGTATAATCAGAGGAAAAACAATTGATTCTTCTAAAATTTGTTACTCCTAAAAAAAGTGGAGTACCAACGAAGGAACAAGATATTTTTTTATGATATTTTTTTATTAATGCCAAAAATGAATATATTTATGTGAAACTCTCGTTGTAGTACAAAAAAAGTTGTTTAGAATATCTTGGAAGTTCGTTGCAAAAAAAAAGAATATCTTAAAAATTGTGGAAAATCAAAATAACAGATATTATTCACATAACGCAAAAATAGCTCAATCATTGATATCTAAAGATTGTATTTTGAAATTTTCAAAATTATTTTAAAAATTAAATTAAAAAACTACTAACTATTCTCCATTTCCTATAAATACACTACTACCTCATAACAAGATTTACCGTACAAACAAAATTTAAGCATGAACGAAAGGTAGTAGTTTCTTATAACTTCTTAGTTTAATTCTTGATTTTTTGGTAATCGTTTTTTAAATTTTTTCGTAGCAGATTCTTTATGGTATATATATTTCAAACTTATATTGGCTGATCAAACATGTTTTGTATATTCGTTTTAGTTTGGTGTATCCTAGGATTGTTTATTATGCTTGCGTTAGGTTTTTAGTTGCAACTTGCAAACGTTGATTTTTGGTAGACCAAACTCTTGTAAAACTTATCAATGAATAATTACTCACTCTTAATTGGCAATTTCTGTTTTAAAGATTTTTGCCGAACAATAATAATATTAGCTGTCGACTGATGTACTTCATTAGTAAAAACTTGTACTAAAGTCACTGTCGAAAAGTTCTTAACACACATTTATATATGTTTTTTTAAAACAGGAATACGCGAAGCAACGATGCAAATAATGGTCGATCAAATGCCGGAGGAAGTCGTTCAAAGCGTAAAGATAAATCAACCGATGAACCCAAAGTAACACACCTCTTTTTATATCTTTGGATATATATTTATATCAACATATAATTGTTTAGCTTATATATATTATTACTTTAAACTATATCAGTACATATGGAATTCTAGATATACCGAAAGTTTTCTCGAACTTGTAAACAACGAGCTGAAAGCAAAAGGCTACGTCATAAGATTGCCGGACAATCCTGGCAAGAGACGAGTTGAAGAGAAATTTTATGAAATGACTGGAGTTAAGTTGAGTTGGGAACCAGAAATGAAAAGCAGAATCAACTATATGCGAAAATTATGGCACCATTACAGCATATTAGTTAATCGCACCCGTGTTTCAGCTGATTCTACAATCGGAAAGATAAATATGTCAGAGGGTTGGTGGAACGACATAATTGCGGTGAGTTTTAAATATAGTAGCGTATTTTCTATATGTAATGTGCTTGATTTATAATTCGTTTAATCTTTATTGTCCAGGAATTTGGGAACAATGGCAAATTTGTACGAGTGTTGCAAAGTAAGCCTCTTCCGTTTAAAGAGCTACTCGATCAAATCTATAGTAAACATGACGTGGAGCAGGATGATCGTTATTCGCCACACACTCTTCGCACACACCTCCAACAAACACTAGACGAGGGAGCTAGCGATGATGATATAGGTGTGGATGAAACTGCAGAAGATAATACGACTCAAACTCCTTTGGATTTAACATCTGAGGATGAGTTTCCGCGAGCTGGTCAATCACCAACACCCACTACTAGAGAACGTGTACGTAGCTCGCCATCCCGTACAAATAAATCAAGCTTGCGTGTTCGGAAGGTTACTACTACACATACAAATCGAAGAAGGATCCACTTTGAGACGCAAGTTCAAGCAGGATTTCAACGCCTTGAAGAGTCTCGTACGGGTTTATTGGATGTCTTACGTTTACAACATAATCCAAAAGCAACTTTTGGAGATGCTTTGGTTGTGTTAGAATCGTTGACGGTTGAACCAATGGGAAAATTTTGGTGGGCAGCAAATAAGTTGTTGCTGAACGATGAAGATGCTCGTGATGGGTTCGTGAAATTACGGAGTGAAGACAATAAAATTCAGTTCTTGGAAAAGCTTACTGGCATTGATAGATATGGTCTACCATGTGATATTATCAATTTGAAAGGGCCAAACAGTTTCACGACTCCTTATGTTCCGGCCACACATTCACAAATGGCAGGAACAGACACTAATGCTTCTTCAAGTTTTGGCGCTAGATATGGATTGTTTGAAACAAGTTCTTCAGGGACTAGCTTTTCCACTTTGCTTGGGCTGTCTCCCCAAACTCAATAAACGAAACTTAGTTTCGTAGATCTGACACTATCTAGTTCTTTTTTATATAATATTTTCAATATTTTTGCTAATAATGTTAACGCCAATAAAACATTTCTTTAACATTAGTTGATGACTTAATTTTGTAGACGTTTTTATATGTTTCTAACACTATTGTATGTTATTTTTCAGGAACTTCGTATAGCAGAGTTACATCTACGTGGCATTGAAAATTTGTCCAACGAAGAAATTGCAGAGCTGATATTATTGGAAGAAGCTGAAATTTTAGAGACTCATATCTCTCCGGTGATGGAATATTATGGAAAATATTTCTATAAAAAACCAATGTCTAAAGACACAGGCAAAGGATGGCGCATAATTCAGGATCAAATCTACGACAATGAAGCTTCATGTCAAAAGCTTATAAGGATGAGTTCGTTGGCATTTAGACAACTGTGTCAACTACTGCAGGAAAGATATAGCTTACAAGACACACAGAATATGTCTGTTGATGAGAGTGTTGCAATATTTCTCATCATTTGTGGGCAAAATGACACTCAAGGTGACATTGGTTTAAGATTGGTCATGCACAAGAGACAATATGTCGAAAATTTCATGAAGTCCTTGGAGCAATGGAACGAATGGCTGTAGACTACATAAGACCAAGAAATGCCCAAGAAATTAAAGCTATGTCAAGGCGTCTTGAAGAAAATGGTCGATATTTTCATTACTTTAGGGGATGCATGGGAGCTTTGGATGGGCCACATATATCCGTTATGGTGACTCCAGGCCGAGAATCCATTCGATTTGTGAACCGGAAAGGAAATCCAAGCCTCAACGTCTTGGCCATGTGCGATCTAGATATGCTTTTCACATATTGTATTATTGGTATGGCAGGATCAGCACATGATGCACGAGTATTGTCAACAGCGATTAGCGATGATCCTATGTTTCCTACACCTCCAGAAGGTAAATATTATTTGGTAGATTCTGGTTATGCCAATAGACGTGGATATTTGGCTCCATACAGAAAACAAAGCAATACAGGCACGAGGTATCATCTACAAGAGTTTTTGAATGGTGGACCGCCAAAAAATAGTAAAGAGATGTTTAATAGATGGCATGCATCCCTTCGTTCAGTTATAGAATAGACATTTGGAGTTTGGAAGAAAAAGTGGAGAGTTCTAAATGAGTTTCCACGATATAATATCGCAGTACAAAGGTGTATTATATTTGCTACAATGGGTCTTCACAATTTTATTTGCCGAAATAATATTAAAGATGTTGACTTTGATGAAGCAGACAGAGAAAACGAGGTTCAGCGTGCACAACAAAATGCAACTCATGATGCAAATGATGATCAGAGTATTGGAGTGGAAGATGAAACCGAAGCTGGAACTTATATGAGGATTGTCCGCGATAAAATTTTTGAGGATATGTGGCTCGATAGTCAACGTAGTTTTCGATATCAACGTTAGAGTTTATTTGACAAACTATATTTTTTAATAATTGTAATGAGTAGTTTTTTTTTTTCTTCTAATAAATTTTTTTCAACTATTATTATTTTTTATTACATTTTCTTAGTTATTAAATCGTCATGTTAGATTGTATAACTTTTAATATAGTATTTAACTTACAAATAGTATTTTTTTTTATTCCTTTATGTTCTACCATTTTTCTTAAGTTTTATTCCTCTACGATTTATTCCCCTCTTTTAACACATTCAGCTAAATAATATTATCCAACTCAATTTTATTCAACTCATTACTATTCATCTCATTCAACTTATTCCTTTCATATACAATCATTTGCACCCAATCTTCATAAATCACTCTCCCACTAACTCCCTTAGACGATAAAAAAAAAAAAAACACCACTTCAATAAAATTTTAGTACCTCAAGGTGGGCTCTTCAAAAATAGGTTGGTGGCTCACATGGGCGTTTACGGGCCCATTAGAAGCCCGTTAACTAAAACGACGACGTGTATCACGTGACTTAGTAATTTTGCAGAGAAATTCTAAAACTCTAAAAGCTCCCGTCTCGGGTCTAATAAGCTACGGTTCAAAGAGTTTGCGACTCGTAAGCGCTTTCTCGGGTCTAATAACTTTGTTCCGGTAAAATCCAGTTTTCCCTCCAATTTTTCATTCTTATTTTTGAATCTCCCTCTTCGTCTTCTTCCTCTCGTTATTCTCGCCGGAGGATTTTCGTTTTACTGCTTCGCCTTTTTGGTTTTTTCCTTAGATTTAGGGTTTCCCTTTTCTCGTAGATTCTCTCTTCTTCTCCCCTCCTTTGTTTTGGGTTTCAAGCTTGTTTGAATCTATTTTGATGGCTTATGTAGTGTCGGCGATTTGAATAGCATAGATTATGTAATTGATACTCGTCTGCAATTTGATTTCTTGAAACAATTTAGTGTCTTCAGATGGAATTTTGAGCTTCAGATTCTTTGTCACATGAAGCAATTGATTCTCTATATCGTCTAATTCGAAAGATCTGTCATTAAGCAATGTGATTGTTTCAGCTTTTTGATTTTATACTCTTTTTCGGTATTTGCAGGAGTGTCTGTGTGTGTAATATCTTCACTCGTTTAAAGACCATGAAGCGCAAAAGAGGACACAAGAAAGGGAACAAGTCGAAAAAACCGAAACTTGTAATCGAAAACGCTGAGAAGGAAACCTCTGAGCAAAGCTCTGGTGCTCCTGCTGAGTGCGAGAATAGTGAACATGAGTCTAAAATTGAGGTTGATGCACCTTCTTCTACAGGGAGTGGCAACTCGCCAAACGCTAGTGTAGATCCCGCTGCATCAGACACGGCGGCTAAGTCCGTTGTTGGACGCGTTAAGGTCAAGCTGAAGAGCTCGAAAGCACCAGAGCCCGATGATATCGATAAGAGCGGTCCTCCTCAGGCGGAGCCGGAGAAACCTGCTATTGTGGCTGTTGAGAAGAAGGAGGAGCCGTTTCCGGTTCCGGTTCCTCGAAAACCGGTGTTTCTGAATGTTTATAGGAAGACTAAAGGGATAAAGATTAAGTCTTTGAAGCCTGTTGATGGATCTAGCTCAGTTGCTGCTGAGAAGAGCGTTGATGTTGCTGTTGATGCTGCCAAGGCGGCTCCGGAGGATGCAAATGTAGTTGAAAAGGATACGAAAACGACTAACGAGAGTCCTCAAGTGAAGAAGATAGAGCCAGAGAGCGCGCCGGTTTCTTCTCAGGACGAGCAGAAGAAGAAGACTGATCAAGATTCACGATACAGTAAGCAAGAACTGGAAGATTCTCTTAAGGTATGCTAACACTAGTATCTACCGTTAAAGTTTGCTCTTTTTTTAATGGTTTCAGCTTGAAATTTTCTCCTAATGCGACTTCTGTGTGTTGGTGTCATGTTGCTTTAGGTGATCAAGAAGATTATGAAGATGGAAGCTGCTGATTCCTTTAATGTTCCTGTTAACCCAGAAGCTCTTGGAATTCCTGTAAGTGTGGATTTTAGCTTCTTCTTTGTTGATTAAAGGCACCATATTGGGATGTGTTGTTACATATTAGCCAGAAGCTCTTGTGAAAGTTCAACTCTTTGTTATGTTAAACTTAGCCTTTGGTACATAGATCCTTATGATTCTGCAGCCTAAATACTTTTCTCGTGAACAAATGAAAATCAATCATAGGATTAGAAATGCTCTAATACATTGAGTTGAACTCAACGCAGGGGTCAGTATGATTCGTTTTGCATATTATGATTTTTGACAAACTTAGGCTCTTAACAAAGATGGATAGTGAAGTGTAATTTTTGTATCCTTGTCACTGGAGTTTAATATGGGATCTTTTTCATCGCTACGTTGTTCGTTGCTTCAAAAGGGGTTTCAGTATTGATGCCTGACACTTGCTAATGTATTCTTTTCTGGTTGTGTAATTAGGACTATTTCGATATCATCAAGACACCTATGGATTTTGGAACAATATGCAGTAATCTCGAGAAAGGCGACATATATATGAATTCTGAGGATGTTTACAAGGATGTTCAGTACATTTGGAATAACTGTTCCAAGTACAATAAGAAAGGTGACTATATCGTGGACCTGATGAAGCGAGTGAAGAAAAATTTCATGAAGTACTGGACTGCTGCGGGATTGTATACTGAGCAATCTGCAGGTATTGTTTACATTTATCTTCTCCAGCATTTGACTATTTTTTCTAAAGCATTGTGAAGTTGGTAGCTACATCTCTCTCCATACATAGTTATGTTTTTGGTTCCACTTATGTGTATAAAGTGAACATTGTGAACATATTTTGAATTACGACGTGCTTCTGACAAGGGTCATTGGTCATTCTAGCCAATGCAATGTCATTGTTGAAATGCATGTAGCATATTTTAGTAATGAAAGGAGAAGAAACCAAACTTTGTTTACAAACTGTTTTTCTGGTATATCCATCCAGAGCTGTGATAAGATGGATGCTAATCCTGTATGCAGTTGCATGTAGCATACTGCATTACCTCTAGTTTGCATTGTTTGTTACTTCAAATTCTCTTATGAATGTCTCAGATGAAGAGATGTATAAAGCAAGTGCATGGGAAACGAAATTATCAAGATAAATGTTAATATGCGGAAAGTGTATACAATACCCTACTTGCATTGAATCTACTAGCTACGCATTGTGCTTAGGATTTAACTTTTTTTGTTTTCCTCGGTTTTATAATAGAGAATTCTCAACTAGAGGATGGTGGGAAGGCATCCTCCAAAGGAAAGCAGAAGAGCCATAAACGCCATGGGTATGCCTTTGAAACTTTTCTTCTTCTATGATACGTGTGGACTCATATTCAAATGTGTTCTCCTTTGTGTTCAATGTTATCGTGAGTTTGGTCTCAACGTGTCACTAGGTTATCTTTTTCAAGGCTACTGTAACAGGATCTGCTTAGCCATAGCCAGTCGTAATCAACATTGTATAAATATGGTTTTCTCTTTGCCAAATTGTATTTTGTAGCTCCGTCCATACGTGATACGTCTTGCATTACTACATAGCTCTTGTGCCCTTGCTATGCCTTTTTTTAAACTGGGATTGGGATCAATTTTTATTTGATAGTCATCATTTTCGTTTTGCAGAAGGCACCACAAGAGTGATTGCATGTGCGCGATATGTGTTTTGAAGCGACGTAAAAGAGAACGTCAAGGCTCTCAAGGACATTCTGGAGCACAAGAGGTTAGTAATGTGTTTTTTGTTTACATGACGCATACGTACATCTCTCGTTGTGCAAGTGTTTATGCAAAGAGAACTCACACACAACCCATGTGTTTGGCTTAAGTTGGCTGCAGTGTAAAGCGAGTCATTAAACTTTGTAAACACGTGTTAATATTAATATCTTTCTCTCTTGAAGGAATCTTCACCCGTGGGAAGCCCATCTGTGGATAATTCATCAATAAACATGGGTGAGGAGCAGGACATGGATGTTGATACAGACAGCAAAACAGGACAAGGAAAGTCAGAAACCGTGGAACTAGACAGTCCGGTGGCAAAAAGACAAAGAGTGAATGAAAGTAAAGAAGAGGTGGAGGAGGAAGAAGAAGAAGAAGAAAAAGAAGGTAAAGAGGAAGAGGAAGAAAACGTTGAGGTGGAGAGTAAAAACAAAACCGAAGTTAATGAGGATAAGACTCAATCGATCGATAGATCAATGGAAGAAACCGGTGAAGAAGAGCCCGTGACTAGTTCTGCAGAGAAACTGGTTGTTTTAGCTTCCGTTGAAGCTCCAAAATCGACTCAAAACGAGGAGGAAGAGAAGGAGAAACTCCGAGAGCTAAAGGTATCTTTCTAGCCTTTTTGATTAAGCAGCAAGAAACACTATTGAGATTTGAGATTGATTTGTGTTATTTGGTTATCGTAGGAGCTTCAAGAGTTGGAGCGTAAACGATGGAGAGCGAAGATTCATGAGAAGTTTCAACTCAGAAACCCACAGGTTCTAAGTCTCTGTGAAATTATCTTCCCTAACAACAACAACAGTTCTGTCTGGAACGGACCACACTCGCTGTTTAAAGGTAGGGGAGGTTCAAATCGTAGTAGCTCACTACACAAAGCAGTTGAGGCGTTAATGAAGTTATAAGGGCTGAAAAATGTAACATTAGTCTTTTACTATTGCCTGTTTAGATATGTTCGATATATTCAGCATCAACCACCATAATCATTTTTTGTTATTATAAACAGAACATAAGCCTGTTCATGAATTTTCAGATTTATGGATTCGTATTCACATATTGACTACCATGAGATGGTGAGACAACAGAATTAAGGGAATACTGTACCTTGAGCTGCACAATGTTAAAATCGTTGGTAATTTTTGTGAAATAGTTGTAGACACTAAACTTACAACTCATCCTTACTATTATTATTTGAGAATTTGTTTAAGTGGAAAAAAATTGAGTTGTTAGAAGCAGAACATGAAAATATGTCCAATTTTTTTAAATAAACAATTTTTTTAACACTGACTAGGTATTTATCTGCGCTACGCTGAGGAATATTTTTTGATATTTTGTATATATTTTTATATAATAAAATTATTTTTATATAATAAAATTATTTTTATAATAGAAATGAATATTACATTTTTTATTAGCTTAAATTAGGTATTTATATGTTTTTAATCTGAATAAACATTATATATCCATTGATTTTTTTTATTTTTCAAAATTATAATTTACTATCAAATTTGTTTAGCTAACTATCTATAAATGTATATGTAAGAATTAAACAATACATTTTTAAGTCCCTTCATGCTAATGTCAAATGTAATTTATTTTCTCTACTAAATTACCACTTGATAGTCCTTTGAAATTATATAGAGCAAATTGCCATTTAAAAAAAAATATTAATTAATATGATCATTTTGAATTATAAAATTTCTTTATTTATTAAATATTTATTATAAACATATGTTTCTAAAATTACCAAACTATAATCAATAACATTCATATCAAAACCATTGCTATTGCTTTAGAACTAAACAGAAAACTCTATTTGAACTATTGAAATATCAATTTAGTTGAAGTTAAATAATTCAATTTTGGTTACTATAAACATATTGTAATTTAAAAATTAGTACAGAGAAATTTTTATGTTTTTACAAAAACCGAAAAATTGCGTTTTCCGACAAAACAAAAAAAATTCAGTTTTCCACGAGAACATGTGTTCCCACCAAAACAGAGAAATCAAGATTTTTCACCAGAACAAAAAAAATTCATATTCTAGAAAAACAAAAAATCATATTTTTCTGTCAAAACCAAAAAAAAAAAAATTTCCACAAAAACCGAGAAATCGTCTATTTCGGTCAAAACAAAAAAAAGTATTTTTCCCATCAAACGAAGAATCACGTCTTCCTACCAAAACCGATAAACTACAATTTTCTGCGAAAAAATTTTTGCATTACCTGAGAAATTGCATTTCCCACGAAAACTAACAAATCGCATTTTTCCGCGAAAACCAAAATATCACTATATATGTCAAAAACTGAAAATTTGCATTTCCTATCAAAACCGTGAAATTGTTTATTCCCACCCAAAATTGAATAATTTTGTTTTCGCATGAAAACGAGAAATTGCATTTTCCACCAAAATTGTCAAATTACAATTTCTCGCGGAAACTAAAAAATCACATTTCTCCGCAAAAATCAAGAGATCACATTATCCATCAAAAGCTGAAAATTTGCATTTCCTATTAAAACTGAGAAATCATATTTTTCGTCAAAATTAAAAGTTGCATTTCCCTTGCATTTTCTCGTCAAAACTAAGATATTTTTTTCGTGTTAAAATCAAAAAAAAAATCTCACCAAAATAAAAAATTCACATTTTTTCCGCCAAACCTGATAATTCGCTTTTTTTCGTCCTAACCGAGAAATTATGTTTTCCTACCAAAACTGAAAATTATATTCTCCTCTCGAAACTAAGAAATTCTCTATTCCCGCCAAACCCAAAAAAATTTGTTCTCGGTAACCACCAGAAATGTGAATCTCCAAGCTGTGGTGGTCTGAGCTTCTCCTCATTTGCTTTCGACTTCCATTTTTTTGTAAACTTTGGGCTTTTTAATAGGTTAGTAAAATAGTAAACTGATTTTATTAGTGTGTTAATGATATGTATTATTGTTATGTTTTTATTGGTTCAAATTTTTGCTGATGTGTGAGCTTCTTATAACATAACGTTTTTTGCGTTGTTGTTATGGAAGCATAGTTGATGATAAATCTATATTTTTTTCAATCATATACGTCTCTATCAAACAAATACATAGTTAGAAATTTTAATTTTTTTTTGCTGTTATTTATTATTTGAATTTTGGTTTGGCAAAAATATAAAACAAAGATTTAATTATTTTATTTGTTGTTATTTATTATTTATATTTTGGGATGGTAAAAAGTAAAACAATTTTTTTTTGCTGTTATTTATTATTTGAGTTTGGGTTTGGCAAAAAAAAAAAAAAAAAACAAAGATTAACAAAAAAAAAGTTTTGGATTTTTAATGGATTTAAGTTAAAAACAATAAAAGTTAGTAGATGATGTGTATTAATAAAATGTTTTGATTGATGTTTTTTTTTGCTGAGGTGTCAACTTTAGAAAGTTTGAAAATACTGATGTGTCAAGTTATGGAGAGACACTTGTGTTATTGTTGTGTTGATTTATTATTCTATTAAAAGTATTAATAAATCTTTAGTTAAATTATTGGGCTAAAGGAAGTAAGGAACTTCCCTAAACAAAATATTTTGATTAACTGAATTAAAATTACTAGAATTTGAATAAATAAGTTATAAAATTAATATAAATACACTAGAAATATATTATAATACTAAAATTAATAAATTTCCTTGGTTTAATCTGGTTCACACTAATACGTTTCAATAATGTGCAACGAAACCAAAACCGAATGGAATACGATACGAATATACGATCAAGTTGGGTTTACAAAAATGTTTATACGGGACATAGTAGTGGCTTCCATGATATCAATAATTAACATTAATTGGGCCTCATTTACGTTCATTAAGAGGTTAGTGTAGCCCATACGTGACCTGTTTAGGATAAATCATCCAATAGTTGGATCGATATAAGCCGTTTAATGATGATCGTTAAATTCTTTTCAAAATTTCTCTATTAATATGAACCTGAATCCACCTTGGACACAAAATTTTAATTTTTACCGTTGTGTCTGAATAGACTTTTAAAAATGATCCTTGAAACACTCTTTTTTTTGGGTCGAAATCATACTGATTTATATTGAATGAATATAATCTGAATACAAAGTATTGGTGATCCAAATAGGAAGATAACAAGTTCTAGAGTAGAAAACATTATTTGGTGGGCCATTTCTAACCAAGATATGAGCTGCTACATTGCAGTCTCTTTTTACATGAATAAACTCAAGATGGTTAAATCTTGAAGACAGAAATGTCTTGATCGTCTTGCTGGAGTAGATTGACTAGGACTTTGCAAATTGCGATCCCCTTCCAAGCAGATATTCTCATATCCCATTAACCACGTATGTTGAAGGGTTACTGAAAGAGCCTTTCCTTCAGCTTCTAAAATGATCCCTGAAACACTTTTTCATTTATCGATACTTTATGTATGTTATTTTATATAGATGGTGAGACAAATCCAATTTATCAGATCCGTTCCTAATTTCGAGTCGATCTCTTAAGAAAAACAAAATTTTGTTCCATATTGCAAATTCAGCCATGTCAAGATTGGGTCTGATTGATAACACAAAACGTTACAAAAAAATTACGATACAACTTATATCGTTTTAATAGTTACTAATCACAAAACAATACAAAAAACGTTATTAACAGTATTACACTGAGTTTTTTTATATAGTTTTGGTTTACCACTTTGGGTTACCAATATACTATAATATAAACTATAGCAAAAATAAATTCAACACCGACATCTTGACCATATGTATTGACTTTTAAGGTCTCTATGACAGATCAGATACAGAATCAAATCAAAACTCTCCAAAGTGTATGACTATGAGTACTATACTGCTATATATATATATATATATCACACTTGCATAAAAACTCAAAATCGATACCAAAACAATCACAACATGGATAAGACAACGATGTTGCTTTTCTCGATTTTGTTCTTGTTCACATTCCTCACGATCGCGTTATCTAAAAACATATGTAACCAAGATGACAAAGATACCCTCCTCAAGATCAAGAAATCCTTAAACAACCCTTACCACCTCGCCTCGTGGGACCCCCAAACAGACTGTTGCTCCTGGTACTGCCTTGAGTGCGGCGACGCCACAGTTAACCACCGCATCACCGCCCTAACAATATTCTCCGGTCAGATATCCGGCCAGATCCCGCCTGAAGTAGGTGACCTACCGTATCTGCAAACCCTTGTCTTCCGCAAACTCTCAAACCTCACCGGTCAAATCCAACCCGCCATCGCTAACCTCAAGTACCTCCGGACACTCAGGCTCAGCTGGACGAATCTTACCGGTCCAGTTCCTGAATTTCTCAGTCAGCTCAAGAATCTCCAGTTCTTAGATCTTTCTTTCAATGATCTCTCTGGTTCAATACCAAGTTCTCTGTCTTTGTTACCTAATCTCCTGTCCCTTGATCTCAGCAGGAACAAGCTTACAGGTAAAGAATTCTCTTTGTCCTATTTTAAACATCGATTTCTTTGCATACATTTATTTTCCATGTTTTGTCAATCTGATTAAGAAAATCTATTAACTGAATTAGGTCCAATACCAGAGTCATTTGGGTCGTTTAAAGGACAAGTCCCTGACCTTTACCTATCACACAACCAGCTCTCCGGTTCTATACCCAAATCACTAGGCAATCTAGACTTTAACCGGATCGATTTCTCCCGGAACAAGCTCAAAGGTGATGCTTCGATGTTTTTTGGAGCCAACAAAACGACATGGTCCCTTGATTTATCAAGAAACATGTTCCAGTTCGATCTCTCCAAAGTTGAGACCCCTAAGACACTTGGTATCTTGGACTTGAATCACAATGGCATCACAAGGAACATTCCGGTTCAGTGGACTGAAACTCCTCTTCAGTTCTTCAATGTTAGTTACAACCAATTGTGTGGACGCATTCCCAATGGAGGGAAACTTCAGACATTTGATTCGTATTCCTATTTTCACAACAAATGCTTGTGTGGTGCACCTCTTGATAGTTGCAAGTGAAGTTTTAATTCAAATTCAAGCAGCCAACCTGTTTTTCTATTTTTTCCAAAGAACTAAAAGTCTGTAGACAACTATATCATTATTTGGATTAATTAATATATATGAAAAACTAATGAGCGTTGCATTTGATGAATTCATAGTACAATCTTAAAACCTCCCAAAATAAGAAGAAAAAAGGTGTGTTTATAATGATTCTTTCTTAAAAAAAAGTTTTTAGCTGACTGCAATAAGAGTAAATTTGCTGAATATATATATTTTGGCCCAATATAAAAGAAATATATTTGTTTGAATGTGCACAAATAGGTATGGGGACATAAATTCTGGGAATGTCTTAAATTTTAAAATCTAATAAGTAATTTAATTAGGAAGAGGAAAGAGAAAGAAAAAGTAAGAGAGACAGGATAGAGAAGACAATGATTGTTTTGTCATTAATCATGGTTTTATATAGTTATAAAACTAATAACTGATCAAAATATGGTTATCCATTCTATTTTTTTGCAACAATTACTAAGTAATAGTAAAAAAAAAACATCATTTTTCTACACCATTTATATAAAATGGAATGGCCAGTTTTTACTTTGGCATTAGATTATTTGTTTTTGCTTACGACTTCTTTTGAGAGATGTGTATTATTCGGTTTATCTTCTGTAGTAAAAATGTTTTGTACCGATGACCTTGTTAAAAGGCAAGAGCACGATGATGTATTTTTCTTATATAAGTTAGACTTGGTTAATGAAAACAGAATCTTTGAAAACCGTAACCATTAGTTAAAACTGATTTAATCTATAGCTGATCATGGCCAAAAAAAAATAAAAAATAATATAAAATGGAATGACATTGTTTCTTTTACGGAATGATCCAAATTTTGTTGAAATAAATCACGTATAACATCCCCTTCCAGTTTGAATCACTATCAGTCATGTTCACGACACATTTTTCATGATGCTCGATCGCAAGGTTCTTGTTAATTGGAGGTTGTGATAAATATCCAACATGCACTCTTCTGACCACAAACTTTGCTGATCTTCCATTTCCACTCCAACTTTAGTAGCCCCTAACGCACGGTACGCACCAAATCGTAACCATGTAATATGCTTGATTTGAGTTTGACCACATGCATTTATTCGAAGTGGGATGGTGATTGGTGACCAGGCCCGGTTTTAGGGGTGTGCTAGCAGTGCTTTTGCACAGGGTCCATCACTTTTTTATCTAATTTTTATGGGTTTTACTGTATTTTCGGGCCCTAAAATATTTAAATTTGTGCAATTAAGGGACCATTTTTTTGCAATTGCACAATTAAATTTTTTTTTTTCAATAATGTAGCACAGTGCCCAGTTTCTATTTGAGCCGGGCCTGTTGGTGACGCATCAATATGATATTTGATCATATTTACTGAATTACTTAAAGTGAAGTTCAATGAATTTTGTTTTGAGAAACTGCATTAGGGTGTCGGTGGTAAAACAAGAAAATTTCACTAGTAAATATGTATATGGTTATACATGTAATATTAGTTTTCTATAGATATTGATGAAGATATCAAAGAAGAACCTGACTTAACCGAACCACAAGTGATTGAAGTACCAACATGAGCTATTACAAGAGAAAGAGCAAAAGTGTTACAACACAAATATAATCAAGCTATCATGTTAGCCGTCCAACAAGCTGATGATCCAGAATTTCAAGATGATGTTCAAGCTAGCAAAGGCCCAGTCGGAGTTAAGGAAGTTCAAGAAGCATGTCCCTTATTCTTTAAACCAAACGGCTACAATCTCTTTGTTGTTTCAAGCAAGGCCCAAGACCCATAAAACACGGTCAAAGAGTTATCAAGAGGGAGATCATTCAGACTTAAAACCAAGCCAACAAACAAGGTAAGTGTTTATGATAATTTTCATTACCTTTTTAACTAATGATTTTCAATCTCTTTTGCAGCATAAACTTAGTCGTTAATTTCATTACATTTATGTTAATTTTTCGTTTAATAAGTAAGGCAAATGTTAGCCTGATTTCTTGCATTTTTAATTCATGTAATTTATTTCCAAAGACCCCATGAAGAGCATAGCTGTTTGGACTAGTTTATAAAGTCCCCTCTCACAACAGTGTATTTTTCAACTATGATTAATAAAATAACGAATTTTCTTCATAAGATTATATCTAAAAATCTTGTGTTTATTCTCTTGTTTTTGTCGAGACCAGTACTTCCAAAAATCAAGAGAGAGTTCTCGTGTTGTATCAAGGGCTTGATCATAACCCTTGTGCTGCACTTCGATCCATTTTGTTCTGTTCTATCGTCCCGCTCGACCATCGGTCTATCGTCCGAGTATCTCGACCATACGACCACCTCTCGTCCCATCCAGTCATCCGATCCGTTCAGTCACTCGTACCGGCTGATTAGATCGACCCACTCCACCGTCCCGCTCGTCCCACGTCCCTGTACCGTGCCTTGTGTCCCGAGTATCTCGGCTGCAAGACATCCCCTACCATCCGTTCCATCTCTTTCTAGACTGATCGAGCCATTCTCGTACCGAAGGTCATATTAAGCCGGACATCACTCCGAGCATGTATCATTTTTTGGTATCAGAGCTGAAGTTCCTTCAGCCCCAGGTTGCATCTATCCATTTTATCTTTTAATTGCATTTCATATTTGTGTTCTTCATATCATTTCACAAAAAAAAAAATACATAACATCCTATCATTTGTTTCATTTCATAATCATATTGCCATTATATCTAGTTTTCATTTCGTTAAAAAAAAAAGAAAACCCATAATCTTTCGCTCACTACTGGTTATTGTTATCAATCATTTTGTTATCAATCATCTAAGTTGAATTTCATTAGTTTCAATCACGAAAAGTCAAAAACATTATTAGTCTAAGTCGTTCATTTGCATTCATTCTAGTTTCCATTTATAGAACTGTATCACCAATCAACCATTTGCGTATTAATTCATAGTATTGCATTATCATATTATCATCTTTGGACCGTGTTGTATTAAATCAAAAACTTTAATCAAATTCTATTTTTTTGGTTTAAGGTACTTGAATCAAAACGACATGGGAGAGGAAGCTAGCAATGCAAATGATCCAGTCAGCCAAATGATGAATATGATGAGGGAATAATTTCAAGCCTTTAGGCAAGAAGTGGGAGAACGGCTCACCCGAGTGGAGCAAACCCCACGAGCCCCCTTACGACCGGTGAGGAACGTTGGAGGACTTGGCAACACCAACATTCATGGCAATCCTCAAAGGCACAACGGTATTCACATCAATGAGCCAGTAGATGGAAGACAAGGGCGTGAGGATGATTCTCTTGAAGAAGACGATTACCCGCCTCCTAGAACAAACCGTGTATGCCGGAGACGAGTTCAAAGAGAGGAGTATGAAGAAGACGAGCCATACAACCCTCACCCGAGACAAAACCAAGGGAATATCAAACTAACCGTGCCAAACTTTGCCAGTAAAGTTGATCCCGAGGCTTATCTCGAATGGGAGAAGAGAATGGACCACATTTTTGACTACTACAATCATCCCGGTCATAAGAGGATAGCACTAGCCGTAGCTCAACTCACGGACAATGCTCTCATCTGATGGGACAGAATAGTAGCAGATAGAAGGAGGAACCGCCAACGGTCCATTGATTCATGGGTGGACATGAAAGATCTTATGCGACAAAGGTATATCCCTCCTCATTTCCATAGAGACTTACAGCGCAAGTTTAGTTCTCTTAAACAGAGAACTAGGTCAGTGGAGGAGTACTATGAGGAATTTGAGCGTCTAAGAAACCGCTTGGAGCTGCATGATGACGAAGAAGCATTGATGGCCCAGTTTTTTAGATGGTTTTACAAGAGAGGATCAGCCGTAAAGTGAAGAGACAAGTGCACCGGGATATCAAAGACCTCTTCCACCTATATATACAAGCCGAGCAGCATATCAAACGTAAGAAGAGCAGCACCAGAATCAAAACTCAAAGCTCTTGGAATCCTAACGTCAACAAACCAATGGGTAAAGGCAAAGGCATTGAGATAGACTCGCGGTACAAAGGTGATGTAAGACTCAAGCCTAGTTCAACTAAACCAGCCAAACAATGGAACCTTGGAGCTAATGATGGTGCAGAACAGCTTGTAGCTGTGGAGAAAGGAGGCTTTGTAGCTGAGGATGGAGCAGCTAAGGACTTAGCCATCAAACGAAATCACTCTATACATCAAGAGGGACGTTTTGGTCGAGCTAAATACCCACTGGTTCGAATCAAATCAGAAGTTATCTCACCTAAACCGCTGAAGCTAACCAAGGAGCCGTTTATGGAAACCTTGCATATACATGTCCCCAATATGTTATGCGACCGACCATCATCATTTTCTGAAGTTAATCCACGCCCTAAACCGCCCGGAGGAGTCAATAACCACGCTCAATCATGTCAAACCAAAGAAGAACCGCCCCTTTCCTTACATGGACCCATTGGAGCATTATTTCATTCATACAAGGAAAACTCGGATATATATCATTCAGAGACATTATATTCGCCCCATACCACTTCCACAGAAGCTTACAAGAGCCTTACCACACCAGAAGAAGTCAACAATCGCCTCCTTTTATCAGAAGTCAAAGAAGATCATGCCAAAGAAGAACTTTCCTTACTTGAAGATAATTACTTTGCCTCTGAAGTAAAGAAGGACCAACGACCATATAACTCAGTTAATCTCGTCCCCACATCACCTCTGGAGAATCCAAGACATTCATTTCACGCCAAGGAATCATCACAACCTCCCCATTCATTGCCAAAGTCAAGGATATGCACATTAAAGCCTAATGGCTAGGAAAATGGAGCCAAGAAAAAATCCCCTCTTTCATGCTTTTCTTTTACTTAGTTACCGTTTATTTCCCCTCTTTTGAGTATTATATAAGCTCATTTACATTGTATTTTGAAAGCACGAAATTATCAATCAAAGAAAGTTATTTTTGTTTCAAAGAAAAGTACCTCTTTGCATACAAATTGTTCCTGCTTTTT